CAACCGCCATAATGAAGTTATTACCAACTTTGGACTAACTTCTTCATATCAAGTTCAAAACAGTATTGACCAAGAGGAAACCATTACTTCTTTGCCTAGCATATATATTATGACTCACTTATTACGTATATACACTCTATCTTTACTAGCTACACAACTTCAATATCATGGCTAACCAATCTTAAAAACCACTCATTCAACAAACTTGAAACCAACTGCTCTGTCTTGGTCTATATAGATGCACTTTGTAGATTGCATCAAGTTAAACAAAGCTAACAAATATACTTACTGTTGCTGAATCCTTCTACAACATAGCAAATATTCAAGTAAACTTATCCAAATCTATTCTATCCTTTAACAACAAACCTAATCTATATAATCACATTATATTTAACAATGTAGCACTTTCTTTCAGGCCTATACACCAGCCTTTTAAATTCTTAGGCTGCTGGTTCACACTCAACAACAAACACACTAAACAATCTCAACTTATTCTAGCCAAATTATCTTAACTTACCAAAATTGCTAGCACCAAACAAATAACTAATACTCAAGCTCGGTATATTATAAACATTGTTATTATTCCTACTTTATAGTATAGAATATATAATATTCTTTTAATCAATCTTTATGCAACAAAATTTTTTAACAACATATTAACCTTATTAAACAAAGCTAAGCTTTGCTATACTATACCCACAAGCATCTTATTACACCCTTATATATACAATATTAAAAATATCTAGGATATCCAACTTCAACACCACATCCCAAACTTTATTAAACTGCTCAATAACAAATCTCTTCTAGGCATCTCTACCCAAATCAGAATTCAACAACTCCAAAATAACCTCTAGTCTGCTACTAGCATTCTCTCTTATCCAAATTCTATTATCGATGGCCCCAACTATTTTACTACTAATTTTAAGATAATATAGCTTCTTCAATATCTAAACTAGACTATTAGTTCAAGTTCAGATATAAACATTTCTTTTACAATTTATAAAAGATCTATTTCATTAGAATCTATACTATCAGTATACTCCAAATACCCTACCTTCAAAAAATAACTCTGGTATTACTATATTCTTTTCTTAGATCAGCTTACTTCTACTCACAACTCCCACCTGAGAGAGCTAAAATTTGAGTAGTATCTTTAAGTTTGATTGAGTCTAAGAAGTCAAGAGAGTTCACATTAAATTAACAGATTTGTCTAGATTTAGTTTGCCAAAAAACTTGGCAGCATGACTAGTTGGGATAAAAAAAGTGTATTTGCTATTGATAATATGAAAATTGAGAGAACAATTAGAGTATAGGCTTGAAATAATATTAGAAATAGGGTATATTGAAGATAAGGTAGTTGGAAGGTTGTATTATCAATATATAATTAGTATAAAACCAAAGTTTATAGATTGGTGATGAGCTTTGCCAATAATAGATTGGTTATAGTAAAAGGATAAAAGCCAGAGCTTGGAGTGTTTGTAAAAATAACCTATATAGTAGCTGTAGTAGTTAGTAGGTGAGAGGTTAAGTTATCTAGAAATAAGGCAGTTGTGTGGGGAATTAAGAATAGAATTTTCATGAAATATAAACCAATAGGAAATTTTTTTTTAAGAAATTTTGTTAAGTCTTGGGGATATATATTTCTAGTCTAGAAAACCTCTCAATACTTGCTTCTCAAATTCCCCTAATCTTTACAAGTGATGCTGCTTTTAACACTCTTCAACACATTGCAAACTTCAATCTTCACCCTCTACATCTTATATTCTACACAGATGAATTAGTGATTAACTTAGACAATTCTTAATACTCTATGGATATTGGCTAGATACAAGTTAAAAACAATAGAATTCTCAATATATTCCAGACACAAATCTCACTCTGGCCCTGTTCTTTTAAGGTTGAACTACTTGCAATCTTATCAGCTATTTGCACTGCTTCTAAAAACTACAATATTCAAATTTTTACAGACTCTCAATCTGTAATTACTAAATATAATAGCCTAACTCAACAAACAACTAATACTCAGCCTCTAAATACTTCTTATTGGACTATTTGGAATACATTTCTCTATTTTATTAAATCTTATAATTTAAAAATCACTTTTCATAAAGTCAAAGCACATCATAATAATGAATTTAACAACAAGGCTGATAAACTTGCTTGTAACTATCTCAATTCACTTTACCTTAAATTTAACCCTACCAATATTTATAACTCTTATATATACTAAATTATAATGAACAACCTCTTTAACTTCAGATTCATCACAGCATTCGAACTATCTGTCATGCAAATATCTTTGCTCTTTGGTCATCCCACAACCATTTCCAACTATGGCTAAACATTTCTCAACATATTAACTAGAATTTAACCTGGCTCTATATTAATGACAATCAAAAAGTTTCCAACTTCACTCACAGCTTCTAGTCCTCTATACTTAAAACATTCATAGTCAAGTTACTCACTGATGAACTTCTAGCACCACATACTTTACATAAAAAAACTCCTGTTTCTCTAATATTTGCCACATATGTCAATCAACAAGTACCCCACTTCATTGGGCTATATGTCTACTCCCAACCCTCTTTTTAAGCTATTCAGAATTCACTACAATATATAATAAACCCCCAAATCTCTCTAATACATATCAACCAGCTACATAATCAAATTATCAACTTTGATAGTCTTCAAATACACTACTTTCCTTACAAACCCTCTATATTTTCTACCTTTTCTGGACCTATCCCACTTGATATAATTAATACAATTCAAGAGTTCACTATCTCTAATCAAATAGCTAATGATCTTACTATAAAATTCCTTTTGTACATTAATAAGCAGTTATATACAAATCTTTGGATTCTATACTGCAGCTCAAGACCCCAACCTCAACTCTCTGAAACTCAACCAAGCTCTACAAGCAACCCAAATCCTATTACAAACACTTCCACAACTTCCTCACTAACACCACCCTCATCTAAAGTAACAATTTGGTATTTTAACTGGATCAACAATTGCACACACCCATCTCAAATACTTAACTTACCTCAAATCTAGGTGAGCCTTGGCCACTCTGGTAGGTTTAGGCCACAGATAAGTCTCCAAGTATACCTAGCCTAGGCTCTTGGTTATATGTCTGAGTTCTTATTCTTAGTAATAGACTTAAATTATAAAACCTTTTCCAATCTTGTAAAAGTTTTCATTAAGTTTAATAAAGATAAAAGCATGGTCTCACCTTAATTATTTAAAAAAAAAAAAAAAAAAAACTTTATATAATCACATTACTATTAAAATTTTATAATTACATTTTTTTATGTAAAACAAACAGCGTGATTATAGAGGAGGACGACTTATTAATAATCTAAAATAATTAAAGCATTTTTTTTATTTTTATTATTGTAATAAATATTAATAATGATAATAAACATATTTACCGTAATGTTGGATCTATGCTGTTGCACAAGAAAAATTCGACAATGAATTTTTATATGATACGTACTACATATAGGTTTGATTTAAATAGTATATCATCGCATCATCTAATTCTGGAAGCCGGTAATGATATAAGAATAAAAATTAATCAAGTATTTCGTACGTACGTACAACAGCCTTCAAAAGGTTATCACCATTACACAAAAAACAAAATTCAACTATTAGTTTGTTATATTACCAGATATCGTTTAATAAGACTTTCTGTGTGTTGTAACGGCGATAAACTTTTGAAGATACTGTAACAATTATGACACCTTTGATGGTTTTAGCCTTATTAGAACTTTAGATGAAAAAGTTGAGACCAGTTACAACCTTTTTTGGCATCAAAACTTTTGATTTTGTATAATAACTATATATACAATTATTGTTATCAATCTTGTGAGCAGACTCGGTTACTAGAGATTTAAATGACAACTAACTTAAAAAAAAAAAACACTAAAACTAATTCTCGTGATAATTCCTATGTTTTTGTGATTGCTTTAAACGAAAGGTGTTGTTTTTGAGTATGTATTCGGTTCCCTGGGTAATTCATTTTTATGGCAGTAAATTCAGTTGACGTATGCGGTGAATATTGCGCACAAAGTGAAACCTAGAATTGTCACTTTAATTCCAAATTTTCGCTTTGTGACACTTACATAAAGTAATTGAACCAATCGGACCTATCTCTACAAAAATATAACGCACAGTATCACTTTTATTAATAAACATTTAATGTATTGACTACGATTTAGACGAATAGTTTCTGCAAACTTCACTAATAACCAGTTTTTTAGTCTGCAATAATGTGTGATATTACCGCATGTTTTTTCATTATTTTGGTTATTGTGATCGTTTATTTGTGGGTAAGTTTTATTTTTCAGCATGTAATTTTTTTACATAACTATTATATACGATATGAAATATTGACTATTACTAGAGTTTAACACCGAACGAAATTAATTTTGACCATGTTTCAGGCAAAATTATTGAGTTATTTACTCAACTGTACAATATAGATTTACCAGGTATGATTGATTAAAATTTTAATTTCCAGTTAATATTGTTAACAATCCTTCCAGAACAACCACCAAAATCATTACGTGAGCGCCAAATTGCCATAGTACTGGTAGTTTATACTGTACAATAAGAATAATATAATTATAAAATGCATCAGCTTTTTATAAAACAATATTTTAAAAACCATCTGACAATTTTATTTGCTATGAAGAATAATGTTATCCGTCAGTTTTTAAAATTTTGTTTTTATAAAAATTATGCCAACCGTGTAATCGCGAAATAACGCTTCTGCGCATTATTTTGCGACTATACAGTAGATATTTTTAAGTCACTTCTTAAGATGAAGGATTTTTCAACAATATTGAATTCCTTCTTGTAAATACAAGAACAGCAAATTTCATTAAATCATAAGAAAATTAGGTTGCATTTGATAAATAGAAATTAAATTGCAAAAAAAAAATTCTTACAAAAATTCTTTCATTATAATTATATATGTCTAAGCTTCATACATGAATGATCTTGGTGGTTATTCGTCCAAATTGATATGTTAAATGAATTATTATTATTATGGTGTACTTATAAATGAATTGATAATAATTTTTAAACTACAGCCCATTCGGAACTTATTGAGAACAGAGTTGCAGTTGCAAAGCTTTTTAATTTTGTGAGATCTAATGAAACTTTTGATTTTAACAAGGATGATATTAGGCATAGCCTTTTTGGACTTAATTTTTATCTAATCAGTCTCTCGAAACAACTTGAATCTATTTATGATAATGGAAACATGTTTTTCCTTAATCATGAAATATATATTTCAGAATGGGAGAAACTGGCAAGGAATAATCAGTATAATTCTAACTTGTTTCAGCATTTGAACAATCAATCAAATGTATTCTTGGATACAATCATTCAAACACTTAGTCTAGTAAATTTCACCGTGAATTATTTACCATCCATAAATAATGAGGATGTTATTTCATGGTGTGACCCATTATTTATAGTGCAATGCAATTATGAATTTTCACGAATAGAAAAAATTTCTGTATTTCTCAAGAACAGTCAACTTAATTTGCTTGGAAGCTTTCTGAATATCCAGAATTATATTACCTATTTGGATCAGATTACAACTGCTATAAATAAAAACAAACCAAGAGTAACAACCAGTGGTCAAACCGTCAAAAATTTAAATTATGCAGTTAATAAAATTAAGGCAGTACATATGAAATTTTTAAATAATCAGGATGTCACTCAAAGGTTATACAAATCAAATGACAACGATGTTGCAAACAACAGTAATGCTGCTGACAACCAAACTATAGTAAATGATATCATGTCCAAAATATACAAGAGTAACCTTATTGGGAAATCAGAATGTCAAGAGTTCGAAACTCGTTTTTCCACTTTACCCGTTATTAATGGTGTATATAACATAAGACATCCACAATTTTTAAGAAATATTAGAATAAATGTTGGTAATTATATTGAATCTCTTACTTTTGAATGGTCAGATAACGTATCATTTAAATATGGTGGAAATGATGGCGATTTAAAAGATTTTCACTTGGTTGAAGGTGAAATTATAACATGGGTTAATATATATGTGTGCCATAACTTGTTCTATGACAATGTCCCTTGTGGCCTTGAAATTCGTACAAATAAGTGGAAGACCTCAGGTCGCTTAGGCAATGTGAAAGGTCCTTATAGAACATCTGTTCTAGAAGCACCAAATGGATATGTGATTACTGGTCTTTATGGAAGTTTTGACAAGTATATATGTGGAATTGGTATAATGTATTCAAAGATTTAGTGTTATTAAAATAATTTACGTATTCCACTTTTTATTAGGATACAATTTTTATTAATAAAGTTGTACTGAATTTTATGTTACGACATTGATTTTAATTCCTATCTCAGTCTTACAAATTTTACAACAGTATATATAATACGTAATTAACAATAATCGATAAATCTCATGCCTTTAATATTTAGCCAGCTAAACCGGCCTAGCCATTTTTATACGTAAAAATCAGCTTAGTCGATAAATTTATCTCGACTACTATCCCTAGTAGGAATATTAGTTGATTAAGGGTTAGCGTTAGTCGACTTAGTTGGCTTAGCCAACTAAAAAGATCGAATTTTCAAAAAATTGGCTTAGTCAACTAAAGACCTGATTTAGACAGGCTCACTCGTATAGAATGAGGCTTTGAAAGTCGTCAATATTAATTAGCATTTTGCCTTTTACAAAAATGCAGGATATCAATATTATTTAAGTATCAAATAAAACTTGATCAAAGCACGTATAGCTAGTCTTTTACAGAAATATGAGTGTATTTTTATCGTTATAACGTATAAATCCCACACATACAGTATTACACCTGTAATTATAAAGTTCCAACCACCGATACCTGCATGAATACCGGAATAATCTAGTAAAATTTTGATCCACAAAATTACAGTTATAGAAGCATGTATTACACTGGCATGCGAAGTGAAATTCTCGCTATGCATTCACATCCCTACTCCGCCACTTCAATTATCCAATAATCTGCAAGATTTTGCGGACAAACATCACTTAACCATCCGTATAACCATACACTTCGTGAAATTTTCAATATCACTCCGTTCCTGGTACGTACGTACGTATATAGAAAATATTGACCTAACCCTTTTTGAGCATGACTATACTAGGAATATTTGATTTGCCAGTTGAATAGACATACATACATATGTATACGTATAGTATAGATAGATGTCTTAAGTTCGTGAATAGAAAATAGGAATTTGGGTCAAAATCCCGAAAAACAAATTCCCGAAAGAACATAATACCGACAAAGTTAGCCAACACTAGATATAATGCTGGCCAATTTGGTCAGTGTAAGGTTCTTTCGATAATCTGTTGTTCGGAATTTTGACCAAAAATCAGAAAATAGATATCGTGATATTTTAAGTATTACGTCAGTATTAGTTACACATACGTACGTAGTACACAATGCAGATCACAAAGTAATAATACGTACTAACCACCGAAATTATATAAAGGAAAAAAATTTTTATACTTATTAGATTTTCAAAAAAAATTACAATGGGTGATAATTTATTGATTGCAAATTTATTCTCTATAAAGGATAAAACAGCATTGATTACAGGTGGCGGCACAGGAATTGGCAAAATGATCGCGAAAGCATTTGTTAAAAATGGTGTTAAAGTTTATATCGCATCAAGGAATAAAAAAAATCTTGAAGAAAGTAATTTTTTATAATATTATTATTAAGATACATTATTGAAAATCTTATAATTATAAATTAATTTTCATAATTAAATAATTTGATATTATAATTTATTTTAAGCTGCCGAAGAGTTAACGAAAATGGGACCTGGAGTATGTTACGGCATCGAAGCGAATTTAAATTCTAAAGAATCTTGTGAAAAACTTGCTGCAGAGTTTGAGAAATTAGGAAATGAAAAACTTGATATACTTGTGAATAATGCTGGCGTGGTAGGCTATAATGCTGCTTTGACAGATTTTCCTGAAGAAGCATGGGATGATATGTATAATCTACATGTTAAATGTGTTTTTTATTTGACAATTGCGTAAGAAATATTATAAATATGAATTGTGATGTTGTACACTAAGTCTTACTAAAATATTAAATTTTTCATGTAATAGCTGCTTACCATTGCTTGAAAGGGCTAGTAATAAGCAAACTGATCCATCAAGAGTGATTATAACCGGAAGCATTCTTGGTAGCTAATTTTTTTTTATTTTATTAATCTTATGATACTAATTTTCTTTGTATAATCAGGTATTGGCAATGGTGAGCTCAAGTTTTTACAAAGCCGTGGAGGATGCGCCTTGCCTTATTCCTCTTCTAAACATGCTGTACATAGTGTTGCAAAAAATTTGGCTGTTCATCTTACGTATATAATCATTTAAAACTTTTATTGGCCTTTAATATTGATTTTATTTTTTAATCTAAAGAATTTTTTTTGTTCCAAACAGCCCACGAGGAGTAAATGTTAATATTCTTGCACCGGGTGTTATTCCTGTAAACGATGTATTTTTTAAACACATGGACGCTATTGTCACTGATATTCCTCAAGGTAGATAAAATTCGTTAGATGACCATTTTTTTTAGTTGTCATTTAAATTAAAACTTTCTTTTATTTTTTTTTTTTTAGGTCGTACTGGAAATGAAGAGGATATTGCTGGTGCAGCAATATACTTATCCTCACGTGCTAGTGGTTGGGTAACTGGTACAGAGATTGTAGTTGATGGCGGAACTCTTTTAAGCTTTAAATTATCAAATGCGTAGATCGAAGTTTATTGTTTTTTTTTTATATTCGTATGGTTTAAAGATTTACAAATCATATATTCACATATTAAAAGGTTAGTTGTAAAAATAATCGATTATAATATTAACTTTCATTATCAAAAGTTGAGTGCTAATGATACCCCTTTATTATAAAGTCATTTGACAATACAAAATTTCTTTCAGAGATAAAGAGATTTAAACGTTAAAAAATAAATTTATATTCTCAAAAAAAGCCAAAATATCTCTTTTAACAGCATGTTAAATAATAAATCACAATATATAATCATGATTTGTTCCATAATCCATGAAATCCATAAGGAACAACTTTTCCATGTTCCATTTCAGCTCTAGCAATTTCTTTAAAAGATTTAGCATCTAAAATTAATAAAAAACTAGTATTCTTTATACCATCAAGTACTACACTTGTTATTACACCATCATCCTCTTCAACAGCACTCGGTGCAGGGACAAAAATTGGTTCACTAGGTGTGCATCCAAATTGTTGCCAAATTTTATGATTAAATGAACCATTTTCTGTTCTATGGAGATCAATTTTTATGAGACGATCAAAAACAATGTGAGGATTAGAACCTGAGTGTGAGATACCTAATTTATCACAAGAGTCAAAAGTTATTTTTTTTGCACATGTAAAAAACTTAAATATGCTTAAAAGTTTATACATAAATTTACCATAGACATATCGATACTTTTTCATATAATATCTTGAAAAATCAACCACTGGAAGTTCAACATTCAAATCTTCGGAAGTCGCAAATACAAGTTCGGCATTTGGAAATTTATCGCTGCCATATTTCAAATCTGTGCTATCTAGATTTTTTGAAACATTACACAACTTATACCTATGTACTCTACCATGATCAAATTGCAAAGGTAATTTATCAGCATTAGTTTCAGATCCTGAAAGTCGATCAACTGTAAGTTGAAAGATGACACTATTATCTTTGTATTGAGATAAATCAATGATGATATCATCTCCTTCATCATATGCGTTTATAGTATGGAAACAATAGAACGTTGGAAAGGTATAGGTGGCCACATGTTTTTTAAGGTTACGATCAATTACGTAGAAGTGAGTCTTTTGATTGGGATCCCATGGGACAAATGATCGAATTATATTACGCTCCCATAATATTTTCGCACCGTTCATTGCAAAATCACATTGCCTTTCATATATTTAAAAAAGAATATTATTAGATAAATGCATATCATAGTTACGCTAAAATGGTGTCTAAATTAATTTTTGTGACATTATATACATTTAAATTTTCATTTTCAAAAGTATTAGTTTTAGACACCTACTGTATCTAGATTTCATATGTAACTTTGAATTTAATTCAGAAAATCTACCACAGAAATTAATTACAATATACCGAGATTTTTAGAGGTAATAATCGATTTCTATGGTATACGTATGAAGTTAAAGAAAATTTTTAATAGATACCAAAGAATCAAAATAATATATTTCTTCGTCATAGAAAAGCTATGAATATACGCTAATTTTGATGGAATGGTTGCAAGTATAGTCGTAATAGGTTTTCCAGTTTCTTCATCAGTTTTGATAGAAAATACATTATACTCAGGTATAGCACCTGAATTAGAAACAAAAGAAAAATATTCTCCAGTTTCAGCATCATGTTGATAATGAGCTGGTGCCATGGATCCAGATAAAGCTGGATGAAATTTTTTAAACGAAAAATTTTGTATTGGTTTAAGTGTAATCGGATCGATTGACTTTAAAACATTTGCATCTGTTCCTAAAACAAGTGTTGTAGAATTTCCTTCAGGATAAGGAAGAGCGTTGGTAAGAGTTACAGAAACGTTTCTACTGTTTGGATCATCTTCCAGGTTGTTAGATGAAATAGATGCTTGGAAGACTGTAAAGAACTTTAGAAAAAAAACCAAATTTTATTAAGATAATTTCCTAATTTATATTCTATAATTATATTTTATAAGATTTACCTTTTGAAATATATTTTCGCAAATATCTTGACCAAATGTAATTTGAGTTAATCGCAATCTACCATTTTCTTCTATATATTTTTCATCTGAAGAAGCTACGTTTCTGCTTCTGTAAGTAACCACACCGTTTCTGATTTCGAAACGATGAACTATATAATTAAATATATAGTGTATAATTATAAGTAATCAATTATCAACAAATTTTAGAATATATTATACATTTAGAGTAATATCATTAACGCATACCTTGGCCAAGTCCATCAAACCAATGATCAAAAGAAAATACAATTTCCGGATTTTTCTTTGATGAAATTTTATAAGTTCCAGGGCCAGTACGATAAAGGACACCTTCTAACCATTTAGGTATTTTCCCATGGACTTTAAGCGTAACTGGATCACAAGTCTCGGAACAATTTTGAAATCCTTATTGAACAATTATTAGTGAAAAAAAAAACCAAAATTATAATAGAATTTGAAAACGGTATCTTGCAATTGATGTAAAAATACCTTGTGCATAAGGCCATGAATCCCTTTCTTGTGCAGAAGACATGATGGTTAAGATTATTGGAACAAATTACTGTTAAATTTTATATTTTTTACTATATGAAAAATTAATTTCTGTATATAAATTTAGACGAAAGAAATAAGGAAATTTTACCTAAAAAGATTTCCAAGTATTCATTTGACAACATATATTAACTTTATAAGATTTTATCATAATGACCTACTATATATATTCGTGTGTACGTACGTACGTACGCATGCTTATTGTTATCAGTTATACGCATGTATAATGTGTAAGTACTTATCTGTTATGTACGTACGTACGTACGTATAATATGCGTGCGTATGTTGATATATCTGGTATACACATTACAAATATTTAATTAGTAATTATTTATTCTTGTCAGTTTCCCAGATCCAATAGTGGTAATACGTTGTATTAGAGGTTGATGCTGGAAATCGTCCTTAAATCTTAGTCTAACTATAAAAGGTCAAATTTCCTGTGTCGCAATATTGCATCAGCCAATCAAATTGCAAGATCAGGAGCGTTGCAAAAATCAACCTCGTTTCATCCATTTGAAATTTTGCATCACAGTCACTATATTACAATATTATCATAATTAAAGTTTGATGACTACAGGTAAGCTTGGTATACCAAAATTATGCACTTTGTATAGTATATGTTGGCTTTAATCAAGCAATCAATTTTTTCAAATAAAGTTGCAGCTTATGTATCAAATTCGAAAAACTTCATTATACTTTCATGATTTGTTCATTAATGAAAATTTAAAATAGAGTATTAGAAATTAAAAGCATTAAGATATCTAATTGGGATGCGTTATTTTGATTTGAATTTTCACTTGATAAGAAATAAATTTATCGGTTCTAGTTTTCTTAGCATTAGCCTCATAGTCAATATCAAAAATAAACATACAAATAAAACTTATTTTATTTAACAGCTTCATCTCAATGAAAATAAGACATAGATCAAATTTTTTTTAGAAATGTATTGCATTTTGTATTATGTTTCTTTAATGAGTTTGCTTCAAAGTTATTCTGCATTAATAGAACTGCATGAGACTTGTTTAAATGCTTTATGCTATATTTACCTATCTTTGCTCTATGTAAAGGTTGGAATTGAATATTCGATTCATTGAATATTCGAATTAATTCATATATATATGAATTTGAATTGATAATTTTTCGAACTTTTAGTAAATATTTATTTCAAATAAAAAAATAAAAGACAATTAAAGAAAGCAACTATAAGCGACTATAAAAAAAAACTATAATCTATAAAATAAATAAGCAACTATAATAGCTAAAATAAGATTTTTATTTTTCCACTCTATCATAACAATAAAGAGTTATTATTCTGACTCTTTTTTTTCAGTCAACTCGATTAATTTATTAATTTTATCTAGTGGATCTTTTAATATCTCATTTACTTGATTTTTTAATGTTTCATTCATTTTTGCTAATGCTTCATCAATTTTATTTTGTAAAGTTTTTTCATTATCTTCAATTTTAGCAATTTCTAGAATTTCAGAAGGCAAGTTGTTTTTATCTTCAACACATTTTACATATTTTTTAAGCTTATTAACTGAAACTTTGTAATATCTATAAGTTTAAAATATAGATTAATATTTAGCATAGTATTTAAAATTCAGATAAATTAGATTATTTACAAAATATCTGGAAACCAGTTTTTCTTTCTTCTTTGATAAGGTAACATCCAAAAAAGTTCAATTTCAGTTAATATCTAATAATAAAATATAGTAATTATATATTTTATCTTTTTTTAAAATAAAAATTAAATAAATATTTTACCTCTCCTCTTAGTTGTAAAAAAGATTCTTCATTATTTGTTTCATCAATAGCCATTCCAAGTAATGAAATAAATAGATTTAATAAATAAATTGTTGTAAAAAATGAAAACATAATTAACAAAATTGCTAAAGTCCAATTATTTTTTAAAACCCATGAGGAAACTGAACTTGCATCTCCTAAAATAAAAATAAAAATAATTTTTATTGTCAAAATTATGTTTAATATATTAATATATTATAGACAACACGTACCTGTTAACATAAAATATACAGCTAAAATAGAAGTACTAAATAAAGAAAATAAATTTGTATTTTCATCTGGAGTTTCAATAAGTGAAGATTTGTCAATAGTGCCATTAGATGAAATAAATTTATATGTTGAAACAAGATTCCAAGGATTATTAACATCATCAGTATAACTTGGTTGATCATAAGAATATTCACTAGTTGGCCTTAATAAAAGATGTAAAGAATGGGCAAAAGCCAAAACCATAATGCCTAAAATAACAAGAAAAGAAAAGATTTTTTGTGCTACTCCAATCATAATTGCAAAATATTTTCCAAAATATTCTAAAGCACGAAAATATAATAAGAATTTAATTTCAAGTAAAAAAGCAGAAATAGTTATAATCCAAGTTGGCGGGGTCATATCATGCAACCAAACTAATGAAGTTATTGTTGGAACTAATATAGCAGCAAGATCTATAATTATAAAATAAAAATATTAGTGATTGTATATTTTACTTACAGTAATTATATTAAGCTTATTAAATTAAATATATATACCAAACCAATTCCAAGGACTTTTAATATATTCTTTTGGTTTATGAATAAGTTGACGAACTTCAAAAATAAAATGAATTAATCCCAAAAAAATAGTTGCAATCAAAAGAATTAATTGGTCAATCCAAGAAATTTTATGCTTTGGAATTGTTGAAACAATTAAAAAACAACACATAAAAATAGAATATATTGCCCATATTATAAAATAATAAATTTTTCCATAGGTGTTCCACTTAAAATTAATAAGTGCTTTAATATTCCACCATTTATAATAATCAGGAGTATCTAGTAGTAAGGTAAAAGGATTGTCTTGTATATAAAATAGTTCTTTATAAGAATAATTTTCGGAATATGTGGCAAAATTTAATAATGGAAACATTAAAAATATGGTTTCTTGTGGAGAAAAAGTAAAATAAGAAGAATAAAGCAAATAAGGAAATGCTAGAACATCATAAATTCGAGGATAAGATTTTTTTAACAAAAACCATTTTTCAGAAATCCAAAAAAACAAGTAATTAAAAAATGAAGTCTTGAATAAATTATTAATATAGGTTCTATCATGTTGAAAATTAAACAAAAAGGAAGCATCATTGTTAATATGATATCTATATTTTCTATTATCACCAACCAACATATTAATTTTAGATAAAAATTTTTCTGTATATCTTTGATTTCTATTAAATTTTTCTAGCTTTACTAACATAAAAGCAATTTGGCTCATTACTAATAGAAAGCTATAAATGTCACCATTTTTATGTACAGACAAGCTATAATCGTAACAACGAATAAGTAAACTATCAATATTTTCAATTTTGAACGAAGATAATAATTCATGAATTATATTACTTGTATATAATTTTAATAAATTTAATTCCTCAAAATACCGAAACTCATGACCATGCCAATTATTTTTACGGGTTTGAATCCAAATATTAGTTGGTGGTGGTAGAATTTCAAAGCCAAAATTGTAAAATTTCAAATCCAAAAACAAAGTAAGAAAATTAATTATGGAATGTCTTGCTGTTTCTGCACTTTCTGGTTTACTCCAACCATAAATTAGTTTTTTCTCGGAATTTTTTATTGTATAAATTATAATGCAAGAAGTAAAGACCAATAATATGTCACCATTTTCAAGCACTTTTTTTTCAAAAATACCACCGTAAAAAGTTTCAGTGAGCACGTTAATTTCTTCACCAGACTCAATTTGGGCTTTTATATACACTTTCCAACTTCCATTATCTTTTTTATATTCAATAATCCAAGTGCATGAAGTGCATGTCTCACTATGACATTCTTCTTTTGGGGAATCCTGTTGATTTGACTCGTACTTTTCCAAAATAGTCTGTAAAAATTCCTTAATTTCTTTTGTATTGAAATATGTATAATCATCACCATAATAACGTTTTTCATGTTCCAAATAATTTTTCCAATTTTTATTTAGAGATAATCTTTGAATCGATAAATGATTTGTATCAATTTTTATAATATAATCAGAAATAATATTAATAAAGCCCATTGATTCATAAGTTTGACATGTAGCAGGATAAATATCACTTAAGACATCATTGTCAGGAGGTTTATCAAGTGTATGAGTGTGTGTATTCAATAAATAAGAGTTATAACTCTTATTTCCATAATGCGGGCCAGAAAAAAACAAACGTTCTTCATTTCCTGATCCGATAAAACAGAAATTATGCAAATATTCTTCAAACTTCTCTAAATTATTAATTAAGTTAATAATTATGGTTTTAATATTTATAGATAATTTTTACATAAAAATACTTACTACTTGCCATCAATATACCGGATTTTGTCGAATAAACATAGACTATATTTATGTTAGGATCAGTTACTGCTAATAATGTGTTGTCACTATTCAGTTTCATATTTAACCATACGATATGTAAATTCAAATCCAATATATATTGTATATCAAACTTTTGACTTATCAAGTCCCATTGCATGATTATATTTGGTCTATTAAAAGCTACAAACAACTTTCCGCTTTGGAAAACAAAGCACTTATTAAATTCTCCGAGTTCAGTGCTATTTTTACACGTCCACTGATGCTTGTCATCAGATTTCGATTTTGAAAAGATATAGGCTCGATAAACAGAATTTCCTTTAATAATTGCCAGTTCTCCATTTTCCAGAAAGACAACATGATTAACCCATCCTGTTAGACCTTGTGCGCTCAATATTTGTCCTGATTTAGTTGCAGCGTCAATAATTGCTGTTAAAATAAACTTTATTAATATAAATACAATTAAACTTTGCAATTAATTAATTTTAACTAACCAAGACCATTTTTTAAATTTATTATCACTTGTTTACAATTTGAGATTCCTTTTAATAAGTTTCTATCAAACTCGTAAGTGTCGAACGCACGCTTAAGGTCACTATTGTTTAATGAATTGTCAAATTTGACTGCAAGTTCTTCCGTAATGGTCCATACAACAATTGATTTATCTTCTTCACTTAAAGTCGCAATGTAATGCATATTTGGTGATAAAACATATTCATCAATTTTTTTTCCTCCGTGCGGAGGAACATCGATCAAAATGTTAGTTTGATCTTGATCGCCATTTAACGGTTCTTCAGATTTTAATAAACTCATTTTAGATAGAAATGAATGATAATTCTTTCTGAAGGGAGTGAAAATGAAAAATGGAAAGGTTGTGATTTTGAACAAATTAATTGTTAATATTTAAAAAACTTTTTCAAAACAATTATATTAGTTTATTCAATAACAGTAATTATATTGAAATTGTAATGGTACTTTGATCTTATAAGGGTTGAGTACAGCCTTAAGGCTTAAAATAAACTATCATCTATTTGTATTTTATTGATACATCGGTACAAATCCTAAGTCTTCAATATTTAAAATAAATAATTATAACAGAATGTATAATATTTTTAAAAATATAAATCTTATTTTAATGCGGCTACATGCACAGTTAAAACTACGAGAAATACTATTATTGTTATATTATCAGCTACGAGCTGTAGTTTTTAGGCGAGACATTATATAAATGGTGAAATACGAAACCTAAGCTCAGAAAAATGCAAAAATGAAATTCTCTTATAAACTGTAGAATTACAATGAGACGACAAATTTCGTCAAAAACCTTAATGAAGATACAACAATAACTGAATATAATGCCTCTAGTAATGCATAAAACTTTCAAGTCTTTGAATCCCTAATACAGTAATAAATGAAACAATGAAAAAATACTTGAATTAACCAGTAATACACGAATTAATAAAATATAATAATTGATTTAAAAACCACAGCATTCTATTCATAAAGATGAGGAATTTATTTAAAATATAAATTATATAAACGTTAAAGACATTTTAAATAATGATTACATACATGCAGTTCATACCTGATTTTAGTGGCGATATTGGGTAGTAGCACGCAGTACCCACATCACTGATAGTACTATGTTCAGTAGGCTAAGCTATAAAGTTAGAAGCCCTAATGGCTTTATTTGTTGTAAGAAAATGTTTATTTGTAACATAAGCCACAATTTTATCGCGGTTTTCGAAATGAGTAAAAAAAGAATTTTCTCTAGTATACAGTACCTGTATACTACTTACATCAAGCACTTGACCAATGAACAACTTGTGAAGATAGCATTCATTAAATGCTTATATAGAACAATAATGTGGTGCCTTTAGTTGTTAGATGATATAAACTAAAATCATAATCATGTAAATGAGTATCGTTTCCCCTCTATACCTTAAGTAGCCATATTGTTTGATCTCCTGATAAGATGCTAAGTGTAATCACAAAGCTCCCGATATATCTATCATGTATAAAAACCTTTGCTTTCATGAAATTAGAAAAGGTGAGTAAACCATATTGTTTGCTAATAAAGATCAACCTGACCATCTCTGAAATAAATCTTTCACACTTTCTTTCGAGTAAACTTTACTAAAAAAAGGTTTTATACCAAAAATTTTGCGAGAAATATTTTTTTGTTAGAATGCAAAAGGTAGTTTTTTAGACGATATTCTAGCTTACAAAAAATATAAATAATTAATTCTCTTATCAATACCTTCACATTACGCACGCAATCGTGCATCTGATTGACCATCAACGAATGTGCTACGCATTAATAACATAATCCTCTATCAAATATTTTTATTATAGGTTGTTTCTTCTTCACTCTATATTTCAAGCTTAGTATCTACATTTTCATTTTCATAATCATTTTATTTTGGGTTTCTTTTTGAATTAATTTTAAAAAAAGTGCCTCAATATTTTTAAAAAAGAAATTAGATAATTCTGATATATACTTTTATGTTGATAAATTTGATTGCTTGACTAACATATAAAGCTACTGTACTTGTAAAACAAAGCACTACTCAATGGTCTAAGAATTAGATAAGTTGGAAAATTTTTCAGAAATATGAAAATGGCACTTATTTCTCGAATAAATTAAAAATTGAGGCATTATAATCTTGTTAGCGTAGTAAGCATATTTGTGATCATATAATTTAAAGCAAATTATCATTTATGATATATATTATGAAAGCACTATAATATAAAGCATGACATGGGAGCACGTACGTAAGTACATACATTTTAGTCTAAATAAACTTAGATCAACGTAAATATAAATCATGGTTCGAATTATTTTTCGGTTGTACTAGCGGAATGTCTCGCTTATTATTCATATTATTGATTATTAATTCATCAATGTAGTAAAAAATCAAGAAGAAAAAAAGTAAAGCAAAAAATAATAAATATTTTACAAAAAATCCATTTAATTTTTCAATAAGTTATTAATATAAGTAATTCTTATCTTTTGCGTGCTACTATTATAGTATTTTTAAAGTTTACACAGATAAAATACAACATGAATAAAATATTTTTGCACTGTTAATAAATAATGCAGATCCAAAAATTTTTTCGAGAAAAATAGCATTGATCGATTAGATGTTAATTTGGTAACTAAATTTTAAATTAGGGGACCAAAATACTTGTTGACCAAATTTTGTGTTGATTTATTTTATAACATTTTTAAAGAATCTTGCTATTATGCAAAATTATTCGATTGAGATATTTCTAGATAATTTTTATTTACTACATTTCTTCGCGTTATTACTTCATTCTACTTAACATTTTTAACCTTGCCTCTTTCTCATTACTTCATTTCTTTGTAAATATAATATACTGTACAGTCACCCTTCAATATAATCACACCCCTTTATAAGCACCATTTTTTGAAAAATCAATGTCTATATAATCACATTACTATTAAAATTTTATAATCACATCTTTTTCATGTAAAACAAATAGCATGATTATAGAGGGGCAGGACTGTATATTAGAGTTGGCCCCGAAACCCTTTCCACCAAAATCCGAAAGTTTCGGGTTTCGGATTATAGCTTCCGAAACCTTATCTGAAACCTGAAACCTCACCCGAAACCCCGAAACCTTACCCGAAACCCGAAACCTTACCCAAAACCCCGAAACTACCAAATTACCAATTTGTATACATTATTGGGCAAAAATTTGTGAATAACAGAAATTTGGCTCAATCAGACAAATGATATTGGCTAACAAGTGCCGCTTCACGGCACTTGTCAGCTAATCATTTGTCTGGTTGAGCCAAATTGCCGTTATTCACAAATTTGCCCAATAATAGTATTATCTGACAATTTATGATCATGATTGGTAGAGAGTTACCCGCTGAGTTTTTTTTTTTTAATATTGGAAAAAATAATTACATCGTAATACATGAAAAAAATAACAGAAAGAAAGTTTTTCATGATCATATGAGTTTGTCGGATAACTATGATTAAAAATAATTTAGTATATATATTTTTGTAAAACATAATAATTTTCATTTATATTAATAAAATTTCTTGGCATTAGTATCACAAGATATATATATAATTGTAGTTAGATAAGGTGTAATTTCTATATATGTAAGATCAACTCTTTTTCTGACGATCACTATGCCCAAAACTGGAGCTAAAGAAAACTTAGATTTAGAATACCTTGACACTAAGCAAACACCCAAAACAGCCTTAAAGAAAAAGTTCGGACAAGAAAAACCAACCAAAGCTTCTTAGAACAATTTGGCTCAACACAAACTTAGAAATACAAATTCGTGGAGAACTTTAATTTTTTCCTCCATTTCTGCAAAAATATTAAAATTTTTCTCCATACTTTTGGGGAAATTGTCTACACTCTATTACGCAGATCACTCTTACAACAAAACAAACCAACACAAAAAAGGAAATAAACAAATAAACAAGACAAAATAAACAGATTAGTAAACTACATAGATAATAAAACAACAACAACAAAACAAAACAACAAACACATACACGTACATAACAACAAACAAAACAAAACATGTAAAATGCCAGCTTTGGAAGAATTTAAAAATTTCTTCAACAAAAATGAGGAGGAAAGATCACTACTGTATAGCAGGCAAAATGCAACAATCCTTAAAAAAGATAAGAAAATCTCATCAATACTTAGGCACGAAGGATTTCCACTTAATAGCTACTATAAGAGAAATTCTATATATATATGACTGGGCCTAGCAAAAAAAGCTAAGAGAAGAGTTAGTAACAGAGTAAGAAAATGAATTAATAAAAGATGAACCTGACTCCAAACATCTTCTAAACAACATAGTTTTAGCTAAAGCAGGCCCCTCCCCTATGGAGATTAACCCTATACAAGCAATAATTAATAAGAATAGCAATAGCACCAAACAAATCCCCATGGAATTTTCTCTCACGCAACCAAACCAGCTCAATGACAAAATGCTAATTGATGAGGTGGGAACTTCTTGCAAAAGAAGCTTTTCAGATCAAGAAGATATAAGTACATTATTAGAAAGTAAAGCAGAAACAACTAGAGATATTTTATTACAAAACGAAGCCGGAGCTTTAGACTATGGACTAGAAGAACTCATCAATAAGAGGCAAAATCCACAAAAGCAACCTAGAAAAGAATCGCTTACAAGGAAAAAAACTAAATATCATGAGGATATCTACAACTCAAAATGGGCACCAAAAAGTAGCTATACAAGTACTATAGCTAAAAACACAACAAATTATTATTTCACATTATGGGATCTTCCTAAATAAATGAGTGTTAGAGAAATCAAAAAGTATCTCAGCTACTTTGGTACTGCATCAATTCTTGCCTGGCAACAAAATTACAATTCTAAAGCAGTATATATTAAAATTATAACAAACATAGAGAAAAGAGAAAGCTCCTTAAGAGAGAATTGGTTAATCCATTTAGACCAAGGCAAAACATACAGAACAACTCCAGGAAAATTCAGCAATAACGAATTAGAGCAAAGAAACAAATATAGAGCTACTATCATCAATGTTCCAAAAACAGCAATAGACAGTTTATTATTACGGCAACTGAAAAAACACAAGGCTTAGGCAGTGCATATCATAAACAATTGTAATGGAAACCAAAGTAGAAGAGCACACATTTATTTCAAAACAGAAGCTAAACTCGTACAAGCGCAAAAGCACAACCTGTACTACTTTAATATCAAATTAGAATGGCAAACTATGCCTAGAGACAGTAGTGTAAACAGGAACTTAAACAACCCCAATATATGCAAAGGTCTTACTACAGACAATAACAAGGGAAAACAGCCTATCTATGAATCAGAAACCTACAACAAGCATAGCTCAGACAAAAACCTAGAAAATACAAATGCCACTACCAAAACAAACAGGCTTTTTAATGATAACAAAAAGATCGAAAGGAATGAAGATAAACAAAAAAAGAATTCAAAAACTGATACACAAAGAAACAAGAAACCTTTAGATAAAGATACAAGAACCAGTATACAAAACAAAAATAAAACATCAAACAAGGAAAACTCTAATCAGATGGCACTAC